GTATAGTACTACCCCTCAACTTTATGGATGATTTTATGGATTAAATTTTACATATTATACTTGAATAAATACAGTATATATATTTCTTCCCATGTCACCGTAATTATCAGAGCAAAAGTGGTAAAAAAAAAGAAGTAAATGTTGCTGTCCCTTTACTTGACTGATTTGAAGTGAGATTGTTTACCTTAATGCCATTGATGTCCCGTTGACAGATGGAGCTGAGCACGCTCTGTGGGTATATCCATGAGAGTAGCTCCCCTGACGAGCGTATCGTTCGTCTCCACAGCAGAGAATCACCAGAAAGGCCCTTCGAAAAGCCCGGTTCAGGAAGGCATACAGGAAGGGATTCAATCCTGAGTTAATGTACCCCAGCCACAACCAGGCTGTCCACAGCTGCCAGGGCACTGAGTAGTGAATGAATGGGTCCACCACGTTGGTGATGAAAAATGGTGCCCAGCAAAGGCAGAAACAGCCCATGATCACTGCCAGTGTTTTTGCTGCCTTGGTCTCGATGCGCATTCGACTGTTTGCTACAGGAGGGTGCTCTGATGATGAGGAGCCCACCGTCGGCCTGAGGCGGTAATGCTCCAATGGGTCTGAGGACGTGGAGCATCTCACAGTGACTATTGGATCTGTCCCAGTGACAGGAGCAGAGCCGGCCCGCTGAAGTGTCTCAATCTGCCTGACGTGAGTCATGGCGGTGACGTAAATACGCTGGTAGGCCAGGACCATGAGGGCCAAGGGGACGTAGAAGGCCACTGCAGAGCAGATCAGGGCGTAAGGCCGGTTGACCAGAAACACACAGCTTGTYTCGTTGGAGCCTCCAGCTGCAGTTCGCCTCTCTTCAATCTGCAGAGAGTAGGCACAGATGAAAATTAGCAAATGTGATGGATGAAATGAATTATTTTAGCTTAGAATAAACATTGGACCTTTACAGACCCAGGCTAATTGGTTCAATCTGTTTACAAACTTCACTGTCAGACAGCTTAAAGAAGGAGTTATTACCCTAAACTCCATAATAAATAAGGAATTATTAATAGCATTTTCAACTAAAAGAGGTTTAGTCTGCCCTAAGTCTTCATCCTGAACAAAAACCAGGAGTGGTACATTAAAAATATGCAGGTGGAGAAATGCCTGAAGCTAAAAGAGGAGCTCTGTGTTGCAGTTGGGGGCAGTGAGCTAAAAGAAAATGCTAATGCTTGGCCAACATAAACAACGATAATTTCTTCCATGATAAAAAAAAAATGTATCATGGTGATTTTTTTAAACTACAGTATCTGAAACTGGTTCCTACTTCAGTTGGAAAAAAAAAAGATTAAAAGATGTCACCATGCCTTTTTTTTAAATGACTGAGATATTAAAAAGTAGCTTTTAAGGAGGAAAAGTCTTGTTAAAGTGTTGTCTTTGCTCGCAGCCAAAAAGCCTCTGCGGGGACTTATGATAATTGCATTACTGTTAATATTCAAAATGCTGGAAATGTTATTAGAAACAGAAACTTATGCTTTGAGAAAAGGAAGGAGGTACAGGAACCCTTCAGTGTGTTTACAATAACACGGCTCTTGTATTAATTATACTGCAGCTTTCATAACATAGTCAGAATTATTCAACACATGACTGCATCGTCTGCTGTCGATTCCACAGTTTCTGATTTTAGCRACTGAGGACTCACAATGTCCTCGATCCCGATGGCATTCCAGCTTTGCATGATGGGTAGGAAGGAGATGAACGTGGGGATGATCCAGCACCCGCTGAGCATGACTGCCACTCTCACTGGGGTCATCTTGTGTCTGTAGACCAGTGGCTGGCAGCAGATAGCATAATATCTGAAATAACACACACACTGAACGCTATATTCAAAAATAAATGAGTTAATAGATGATACACCTTATTTACTYATCATTTATTGAAAAAGAGTGATCTACAACATTCTAACTCTTAAGGTCGTCACATGAWTGCAGTTTCTTTGTACCTCTCTGTAGGATTTATGATTTTAATTAAGTTTATCATGTCAGAGCTATTAAAGGACAAGTCTTCCTTTTCACACAGACCTGTCCAGTGCAATGCAGCAGAGGTGCAGGATGGATGCTGTGGTCAATAAAACATCTAGAGAGGTTCGCACCAGGCAGAAAATCTCCCCATAGAGCCACTGACCAGTGGTCAGCTCGATCGCAGCGAAGGGCATCACAACCAGTGCAACCAGTAAATCAGCGAAGGCCAGCGACACGATGAAGTAGTTGGTTTTTTTCTTTCTGAGAGGAAAATAAAACACTTTTGTTTATTAAAAAAAGAGAAAATTTGCTTTAAAAACTTGTGCACTTTTAAACCACGCTGGAGGAACGCTCACAACCATAAACAAGACAAAAAAAAAAAACAAAAAAAACAAGCTCACCTCAGGTGCCTGTCCTTGCACAGCGCTACCATAACCAACAGGTTTCCAAACACTGTTATGAGGATGATGATGGAGAGGAGGATGGTGAGAATAACAGTCTCTAACAATCTCAAGAACTCCTGCTGCTCCTCTCCGTCCTGTRTTTGTTCGGTGTTTATTATCTCATCCAACAAACTGTGGAAGGAAAAAAAACAGTTAGATAAAATAAATAAAGAACACAACTTCACTGGCTTAAATTAAGATGATTTAACCTTTGTTTGCTTTGGTTGGCTGATACAATGTTATTCTAAAGGTGAGGTAATGYGGTAATACCAAAGGGAGTTGGTTTGTAAGGCATACCACATTGAATCTTTATCTTTCTGTTATTTTTCAGGTTGGCACCYTTTTGGCTTTCATGGATCACAAGTACAAACGGATAAAACAAATTGTGTGAAATGATACAGTGAGCTGCCTTGAGTGATGACTTACTGTTCAGGTGATGCTGTGGCCATCACTAGTCATCTGCACTGAAGTCAGCCGAGGAGAGCCCTCATCACCCCATGGCCCTGGTGATAAACAAACATATGCTGGGACTGACTTGGCTCCAGAATTGGGTCTGCATTTTTCCTCAAAATAGTAACCAGTTCTATAAACAAGCTGGATGTCTCGCTTTTGTTTGTCCATCTTTTGACAGGATGCAATAAAAATGTGATATTTGTAACCAAAAATAGCTGAAAATGTTTGTAAGGCATTTACTTTGTGACACAGCAACTCCTGCCAGACTAAATCACATGTTGAAATGATAAAATCATATTGAACTTAGATAAATAATAGGGATATACTCTCTACTTTGTTGTCAGCTGAGGTCAGCAATCAGACACCAACGGAGCATGTAAAAACTTGCCTTCTGCTTCCTCTTTTAAAGAACTTTGTTTAAAATGCAGCTCTAACCTACATAGTAAATCTAGGTCATTGTGCAACTGGAATATATTCTTTTTGTTACTCAGATCAGTAGTTTCTAATTTAGAGCTGAGAGTTAATTAAAACTCCCCTCTTTATTCCAACAGATTGCTCCAGAAACCCAACACAAGAATATCACTTTTGCTTTATTAAAAATAACCAAGTTTTTAAAAAAATCTTCCGTAGTTGGAGTTAACAGGGAGGAATCATCCTTTTACAATACCGAGCAATTACAAAATTTTATTATGATTTCATGTAAATAAGGTGAGCTGAAAGGCAACATGCTCAATTTACTGGTTGATCAACATGCCAACGCTCACCTGTTATCATGATATACASATCATAAGTGAGGGAACAAGATTTGGGACACAAATGTCATGACTCAGCATTAGTAATTTGTTGAGAAGCTCCATCATTCAGCTCCTGCTCCTCCACATTGAAAAYTGTCAGCTGAGGTGATTTGGGGTCTTATTTGGGAGTCACCTGGATTGCTTCGCTCTGATGTCTCTATGGGCATGACCCCTAGAGAGGAGGACCCTATGTGGGGCTGGTTGATAAAATAATAACAATACATACCACAATAGACACATGATCAAAATTAATATAACTAAATAGGGCTGGTGTAAAAACACCCTAACTCACTTATTCACTCCTTGGTAAGCTTAAGTTTAATGCTTCAACACTGTGCCTCATAATGACGTGGAGTTAAAGGAGAAAATGAGGCAACAACTTGAGAGGAAATTGTGGATAAAAGAGGAAAAATCACATCCTTTTGTCTCCTGGTCCTTCAAATAGGCAAAACTAAAAACTAATCAACTAGATACCGCATAGCGGTAGCATATATGACCCCCGCACGTAAGCAAAGCACTAATGCATCTGAAATCAGAACTCACAAGAGCGGGTTTTTTGTTTTGGGTGGGAGTCCGTGGGGGAGGGGGGGGGCTTACTGGTGGCCTCAATGGATAGCTCTTCGTCAGAGCTAAACAACAAAAATAATAAAATAAAATCTAAAGCYGCTCCTATGTTGAATAGGTTTTGAGTTATAAGCATTTTTACAAGTCCAGACACCCCCTTTTTAGATGGAGCCCCCTCCTCAAATGTGGGGTCTATCGTAAAACTGTTATCTAGTGCAGTGTAGGTCGGACACATCTACATTCCTACCAAATTTCATGTTGATCAGTGCAGCCGCTTCTATCACAAAAAAAGAAAGTACGAAAACAATATGAACACGATAAGCAAAGATGTCAACTGATATGAAACAATATATTGATACATTTTTCACCCATTTTGCTCAGCCATAAACCTTTGACAGACCCAGATCTCACTGGAGGGATAATTTATTCTTTCTTGCTCAAGAACACCTTGAGGAGAAGTTGTAGGTTGTGACTGAGGGGATGTCTGTGTTTCTGTCCTGGACTTGTTACATCTGCCGCTCAATCCCAGATAAGCGAAAGAAAACAGTTGGATGAATGGATGATGGATCAGTGTCTTCACATTTCCTGTGCACTTTGGTCATTGCAATGCTCAGAACCCTTTACACCACACAGATACACAAAGAAAAAGCTGTATGGGGGACGAGTCTAAAGGAAAAACACAATAAGTACACACTGTATRGCCGCAGAGTCATTTTGTGTTATATAAAGCGTCACTGAGCAGTCTTTTAGTGGCTTAACTTTAGAAGTCTTATCAGCTTTAAGTACCTTTTACAGCATCCCCAGCTTTAAGTTTTATGACAGCTGTCGGGTTTTATCTCATCTGAGAGTCTGTAACAACACCTGACAGACTGAGAGCAGGTCATCCTGTCAATAACACTTACCGTACTTCCTCCAGATGCATCACCATTTAGTCTYTCACATCGTACTGACATCAGCTCTATAAAGCTCTCATATTAGTTTAAAGACAAATGATCACATTTTCTGTTGTATGTTGCCCATCATACTTTGGACAAATGATTTGCTATATATAT